TTTCTTGTCCTCCCTACAAATACCACCTTCGACCCGTTTCGTACCTTTCAATTGCCGACCTTTCTCATATTCTCCATATCATATTTCCTTTCTCATATGCAAACCACAGTCTCATTTATCTCAACTGTCTTTTCCGGTCCTCCAATATAATAGCATGTTTTTTAATTTTTGGAACCTAACCCTCCTTTTCATACTAGTTCTTTGTTTCGCATAACACGGATTCACATAACACGGCAATTTTTTGGAATGTAACTATCGTGTTATACGGGGGTTACCTGTATATTATAATATATTTTTTCTCCTCTAATAATAAAGAATAATTGTTTACTTTACGTTTCTAGCAATGCTCATGAAAATAATTAAGAATAGTTTTATTACTGTAAATTTCTTAATGATATAAATAAATATGTTTATGAATAACATTGAGACCATATTTTCTATTAAAATAAAATGTCTTTAATATTAAATGACATTAAGTATTTTTTAATACAGTCGACCCCCCTATAATACTGTTGATTATTCCATTTTATATGAATTCCATGTTGTACGAGTCACTTAGATTTTACAAATACGTGTGCTGGGCTGTGAACGGCTCACATATTTGTAAAATCTAAGTGACTCGTAACAGTGTTTTGCAATTCCTCCTGATCTGCAAAGCATTTCCCCGCCAAAAATTTCTTTAAAGGTTTGAATAAATGAAAATCCAATGGGGGGCTAAATCTGGACTATATGGAGGATGTTTTAGGACCTCCTAATTCTGCTGTGCCAACTACAGTTTGGTTTGATTTGACATGTGGAGAATAGTCCAGTTTAAGCTCCCTTGGATTTTCATTTATTCAGACCTTTAAAGAAATTTTTGGTGGGGAAACGCTTTGAAGATCAGGAGGAATTGGAAGACACCATTCTGGACTATTTCAAGCAACTTGACAAGCAACAGTACCGTGAAGGGATGTTCAAATTAGTGTCACACTGGGATAAATAAATGTCTCAACGTTTATGATGATTATGTGGAGAAATAAGCAAAAGTATGCAGTTTTTGTGGAATGTATTAAATATTTTCTTTATTTACAAATGTTAATGTACAGGTAACCCCCGTATAACACGGCACTTCTATAGCACGGATTCACTCTAACACGGTTCGAGAATTGGTACCATCCCCCGTATAACATGGTACTTTTATAGCACGGATTCACTCTGACACGGTTCGAGAAATGGGTAAAANTCATAGGAGGGGGGCAATATATGCACTACATTGTGCAAAGTGCCTAAAAAACTTGCTATTTTTAACACAACTTTTATAGTATTGGAAGCATTTTTTGTTTTGGTATTTTATTTTTAATAATGTTTAATAATTGTATTGATACATTTACATTTAATTTACATTGACACAGCAGTATAAACCAAAACAAGCTGGGAAACATAAGAGCATGTTCATATAAATTTAGAAATATTGTAATCAACACAATTTTTCCCTTCTGAAATTAAATTTTACGGAATTATCTTTTTCCTGACTAAGGAATATAATAAATATAGATTAATAGTGTGTAATTTGAATAGATAGAAAACATTTTTAAAACTTTAAAGCTCTACACAAAGTGTCGAGTGAAGTCGGGTTAAACTACTGGAGGTGTACAAAGTGGGCTCTTGTTATTTTTTATGACTACAGACCACTTGATGTCAGTGTTTTAAATTTTTGTTTTTATTTTATTTTATATATTTTTAAAAATATTTTGAGGAACACGGGCCGCACAAAGAACTGAATGTGGAACACAGGTTGTCTGTCGTGGTGTAGAGTTTTCCTGACTAGTTTAGAAGTGTTGATTTTGGGAATGTGTGGCCATTGTGCAGGGTAAGTGTTTGTAAATTTAGTAAGTGCTTCATGGATAAAAAGAGATAGAGTATGAATTAAACTTGAATCTATTGTTAGCATCGGTGAAAATGGTGGTAGGAACAGTATTGTCAATGCACGTATCTTGATGAACTTGATGGATAATGTGATTGTTGTTGATGTTGGGAGTATTTGTTTGTTGGTGTAATTGTTCTACAATTTGTTGTTTGATATTTTCTAGTGTTGTTTGTGGTATAAGATTATGTATAATTGTTCTTTTTTGATCAACAATCCTTTGTACAGTGACTGTGAGATGAGGATAATGTAGTGAAAACGAGTGACATAACTGTTTTCTATATACTGTTATGTCTGTTTCAAGTTTTGCGATGGTGAAGTAAGTATGGATGATAAACTCGTTCATTTCTGATGTCCATTTCGTCCATTGGTATGGTTTACCTGCCATAGTGGTCTGCCTCAGAAACATTCAAATTAGGCTTGTTTCCCAAAACTTGTGTGGTCATTGCAGTAGACATACTTGGAACAGTGCTGCTATCACCATTGGTAGCCAAGGGAGACTGAGACATTTTTCAAATGTGAGCTTCAAATGTGGACGAACATAGACCTTGTAAACCCGAGCCATGTCTGAGCCAGTATTACACTTGGATCGTGTTATCACCATGGTTATATCTCCACAGATGTGGATTCACTCACTCTTGGCTTCATTTCTCCCCACAGACCTCACTGGCATGAAATGCCCCTACCAGGAACAGATGCTCCAGCCAGCATAGGTCTGTGGTTCATCAGAATTATTGATGAACCACATTGTGGTTCATCAATAATTCTGATCTAAACTCTCTGATCTAAACTCTCTCATCACAGCTAGGTGGTGACTGGCAAGATTATTATTATATATTGCCAATATTATTTGATAAATAACACAGAAACAAAGCAATAGGCCTAGTATAAAGTTTTGTTGTTTGGTAGCCATTTTGTAGTTTTGACACTTACAAAGTTTAAAAGGTTTGGTCTTAGAATAAGTGAAATGGAACAAAAGAATACTATCTGGTAATTATATCTACAATGAACTGCAAATGGAAATGAAACAAAAAAAAATTTAATTTAAAATTTTGTTTAAATAATGGTGATAGTATCTTCTATATTGCATACTGGTGATAATGCTTTGAATGTCTGCTCCAGAGATGTGTGTTATGGAATAGTTTTATCTCTGCTCTAGCAATATTCTATAGGGTATATGACTACAGATTTTGCACTACTGTGCATTATCCACACAAAATTATGATACTTATGTAAATGTTTGCCTGTACTGCTTAATGATGCAAACTTTCTTTTTTACAAAAAATATAATAAATTTTTCTTATGTTTAGGTACACATTTTTTTAGTTAAAAGATGGTATATTTTTTCATGAACATTGATGACACTGAAAACATTGATTCAGGAAATGTTTCCATCCATGTACAAAATAATTATTCATTAAATATTATAAACTTTCATGAGTGCAAGTTTTTTAATGATATAAAAAACATATTTAGATTTTACATAATTTAAATAATAGATCTATGATGATATATATAAATTTAGTTTTATTTTTAGACTTTTTAAGTTTAGTTTTAATTTCTCTATACATTTTAATTTTTTTCCTGGCTTATTTGCCTTTGTTTAATAAACTTATATATTTTTTAGGTTATTTTGCTGGAATCTATTGTTTTACAGATCATCCGTCTGTATTACAATTAGCTTGGTCTAATATTGGATGGCAAATAGCATTTACTTTTTCAGTTCTACTACCTATAACAGCATGTGTAGTTGCATTATATTGGTCACAAAATAATTGGAAATATCATCCAGTTGTAAGAAATTTGGAGAAAAGTGGAAGAGTTTGGAATGACATTGCAACAGAAATTAATACAGAATATCGGCGTGTTGACAAATTTGTCAGTGGTCGTCAGAGTCTCAATCGTATCGTTGTAACAGATACCTGGATAATTCAAATTACACCATATACATTGAAAATAGCACAACAGAATGAATGTATCCTTACTCTCTCTCAAAGTACAGAATTTGCAATATCTCATTCAAGTACAACTGGTATTCAGTTTTTAAAAATAGAAGTGAAAACACATCAGAATAGAATAAAACCATTTTCTATTTGGTATGTATTCTAATTCATTATTTTATGTTAAAGTATTTAATAAATATAAATATTAAAGATAATTATAAACATTTTCTATTAAAAAAAATAATGAAATAAAAACTACCACTATTTATTAATACATAGCACTGATAAGATTTGATTTTATTATAATTATGTTATGCTGAAATTTACATTTTAAATAACCTTGAAGTTTATTTAACCTTTCTCTCTAATATAATGTAACTAGAAGTATTATTTGTTTTTTATTTACACACACTAAACTTAACACACAAAATGTAAGAAAAAAATTGAAATGTAAAATAATGACAAAACGATGCAAAGAAATCGATCATCCAATTTTACTTATACAAAAAACATTTTTCATAATTAAATTTACTATATTGGGGGGGCCTCTTTTACTTTCAATTATGGCCAGACATTGCATTGGCATTGATTCCATTTTACAAACTAACTCCTCCAAAATTTTTGAGTGTTAATTCAATTGCCTCTGTGTCCTTATTGTATACTATTTTTGTTATATCATTGTCTACTAATATAATATAACAATATTATTTGTTATATTATATAATAATGTAACAAAAATAAATTTCTTGAGTGTGTTCAAATTGTCTTCCTTCTTCACTCCAATCATTATTAACAGTTGGCTTTACACAGAGCTTAATTGCTTTTCCTTTTTTCATCATACTTAAGGTGGACCATCTGCTTCTAAAACCATAGTATTTGGTCAGACAAGAAAAAATTTAATCTGTTTGGAGAAGCTATTCCACCTGTTAAACATAGTGAGCATCAGTATGTTTTCAGTGCAAAAGGAATTGGCAAATTAGTATTTACTGATGGAAGAATGAAGATAAAAGACTACTAAAACGTTCTCAAGTAAAATATGGAGGAATTAGTTTGCAAAATAAGGTTGGAAAATAACTTAGTTTTTAGACAAGACAGTGATTCCAAATATACATCAAAGATTGTTATAGATTATTTTTGATCAGCTGCGGCCTTATCTATTGCGAGGCTCTGGGCGGCAGATCTTTGCGAGGCCCTGGGCGGCAAAACTTTGCGAGGCCCTTGTCCTTTGTGCAAAGTATGTGAATTGAAATAGTAGGCACTTATTAATATTAATATATACTGTACTATAAATTAAATTTATTTTATTGTTATAACTAATAGCCAAGGATAAAATAAAAAGTTTTAAATATCAACTTTTTTCTACTTGNAAATTTTTTTTTCTATCTTTTGGATTTGAATTATGGGAAATTACAATATACTTAGTATCAGAATCCTAAACTTTATGTATTTGTCTCAAAAACGGGACATAATTTAAAACCATCCTTTGTCTACGGTCTACTGTGGGATGCCGTTGTTTAGTTGTTTGGAAGGATGTAATAAGATTCTTTATGATTTCCTTTTGGTATCCCTGTTGTTCCGCAATTTGTAGAATGTAGTTTAGCTCCGCCATTGTGTCTTTTATACTGGAACAATGTGTATAAGCCCTTTTTACGACACAATGGCGGAGCTAAACTACATTCTACAAATTGCGGAACAACAGGGATACCAAAAGGAAATCATAAAGAATCTTATTAATCCTTCCAAACAACTAAACAACGGCATCCCACAGTAGACCGTAGACAAAGGATGGTTTTAAATTATGTCCCGTTTTTGAGACAAATACATAAATTTTAGGATTCTGATACTAAGTATATTGTAATTTCTCATAATTCAAATCCAAAAGATAGAAAAAAAAATTTCAAATTATCCAAGTATGAATTACTAGGAATGTCTAACAAAGTAATATAAAATATCTTTCCAGTTTTTAAGTGAGCAGAAAATTATTTTACATTTACTGAATCATAAAAATTAAACAAAAACTTCATAAAGTTTAAATCTATTTACCAAGTTTATTAAAACAGACTGAAAATATTGTAAAATAATTCTAAAGCACTACAACAATGATAATTGACATTTGAGGAAAATTTCATTACAAATTAAAAAAGGAAAGATATTCATATTAAACTGTCTATCAAGGTCAATTGAGTCATTTACTTGAGTAAATGACCTAACAGATCTATTTTTGTTATTTATATAATATGCATCATTTTTAATGTGCAATGAAATTTACTTATGTTTAGATTATCTGAAAATATTGAACTCTCAAATTAATATACATAACATGTATGAGAAATAGCAAGTAACCTAAATTTTGAATTACTCAATTTTGATTCAAATTTAGTAGATTAATCTAGATCTTCTTGGGTAAAAAAGTAAAAGTTGACTTTTTACTTTTTTGTGCCAAAGTGACTCTAGATCTACTAAAAGCCCAATTTTCAGGATTCCAGCTCATAGTGATGGCACCATGTTTCATCACTGGATACAATTTTGCACAGAAATTCTTTTCTTCATAGTGATGATGGAGGTGCCTTATCAAAAAAACCCATCCATACTGCATTTTGACCCACACTTAGCCATTGTGAGCAAATCTTGTTGAATCTGAGGATCATGAACAATGGAATGGGGCCAATCTGACCTAACTGTATTGCAATGAACTTAATGCTCACATAATGGTTTTCTTGGATCAATTCTTCAGCTGCTGCAAAATTTGTGTCTGTTTTGGCTGTTGTTGCAGGTTTAGGCCATAGCTTATCTGCCATTCTGGAATTGTCTGTTCCAATCTGTTATTGTCATCTTCAAAACATAAGCATCACCATGACTTGCATTTGGTGATGAATCTCACCAGGCTAATAGCCTTCTGCACTCAAAAACTGAATTATAGCATGCTGGTCAATCTTAGATGGAGTATGAATGGTAAATGTCACCTTTCTCTGGATATCACATGCTCATGGTGCCACCAAACATAACAATACTAGTATACTGGCTAGATGGCATTGCAACCTGTGCACTGTATGGCATCATGGGATTGTCTGACACACCAAACATATGCTGAACACATTTTCATTGAATCAACCATATACTGTATACATTATCTTATGTTTTATATTAGACATAGTAGATATATAAACATGTAGACCTAATATAAATTATAATCTACAGCATATTTAAATGATTTTTTTAAATATGTATAAAATAATTCAAATATTAAATTTATAAATTTGGAAAAAATCAAAAATTTATATTTTAATTAAATAACTAATATCAATAATCAACTTAAGCTGGCATCAGTGGAGTGGGATCTTTTAAGACTCTAGATGTTTTAATTTTGAGATTATATGATGATATACTATCATTGCTAGAATTGTTGTAGGATTAGTTAACTTTAAATCTATAGAATTACCCTCAATATGTTGCATGAATGTTAATCTTCAGGATACACTATCAGATAAGTTACTAGCCAATTTTATGTGGTGAAAATTTATTCTTTAGTTTAGCAAAGAATCAAGATGTCCAATATCACTTCTGATTCCTTTGTGGAAAATATTTATTTGGACTATTTAGACAAAAAATTTATCCTAATATTGGCAAAATACTTTCAAAACAGAATGATAGAATAACATTGTCTCGGGACTGTAAATTTAAAAAAAAGGCAATTTTGATTTAAAAGCTAGTTTAACATTAGTTGTCATATAAAGTAAGATTCACTTCACTCTGACATCATAATTATTTATTTTTCATCATTATACATTACAATATGTTTTAATACATATATTAAAATCTAACAAATCTGCTATAGTCAATCAAGTCTGCTTAAGAGAAAACTCTCAGAATCATCGAGATATGCTTCTTTATCTGAACTGTTCCCAATCTGAAGTAACAAGATCATCGAGGAAATTGTCAGTGATATTCAATTCTCTTTACTTTTTCATGTCTTAGGAATTTTATGACTTATAATACATTTGAAAATGTTAAAATTCATTATTGAATAACTTTACTTATATATTGATTTCCATTCTTATAGCTTCAATTTTATTATTCTATCGAAATATTGTGACTGATAAAGATACTATATTTATCAGTCACAATATTTTTGTCTATTCCCAGAAATACAGTAGGAAGCTTAGTTGAAAAGATGGTAAATATCCTTGCTGTAAAATTTCTGAATGCTCTCTAATGAGATAAACAGTATAAAAATAAAGTAATAAGTATAGTTAATACTATAGTTCTTGTTTATTTGATAGAATAATAAAATTGATGCTATAAGAATGAAAACTAATATATTTTCATCTCAAGGGGAAATGATTTTGGAGCTTTTGGAGGTCACACAATCTTACTTTACGGTACTGTACTACCTTAAAGTAAGATTGTGTGACCTCCAAAAACTGGTTGCTAATCATTTCCCCTTGAGATGAAAATATACAAAGGTCATCCAAAAAACAAATACCATTTGCACATAACACTTTGTGCAAGTAAATTAAATGCCATCAATTCAAGGTCAATTTGTTTTCTGATGAGCACATGTAGAGTTTCCACAATAGCAGACTTATTGTTATTGTTTTGTCAAAAGTTGAAATGTTTACAAAAATCCCACTAAATGCAAAGTGTTATTTATTTTCTCTAAATGAGATGAAAGTTCGTCCTGTAGAAATTCATAAACAAATCACAGAAGTGTATCGTGATCACATTATGAATGAAGCATGTGTGAGAAATTGGTGTTTAATGTTTAATCATGAAAGATAATGTGCAACCATACACTACCACAGCCACTCAAACTGTGCTTCAGAAATTTGGCTGGAATGTTTTTGTCCACCTATAAAACAGTTCTGGCCTGGCCTGGCCTACAGTGACTTTCATTTCTTTACCAAGCTGAAAATTTTTTAGGTAGATTTGGGATGTTTTGGAACAGATAAGAAGTGAAAGAAGCTTTCAACATCTGGCTAAAAGAACTGGCAGGGCAAATCTACAACACAAAAATTGAAAAACTAGCATGCACTACAACAAAAAATGCTTTAATCATAATGGTGCCTATGTAGAAAAGTAACTAGTCTTGTACTTATTACTTAATAAAACTTTTTCATAGCCTTACTGATTTTTCCTTTTTTATAGCCAAACAT